GGTCTTCTTTCTTGTTCCAGCAGCTCGCTCGCTTCCTCGCTCGCCCCCCCCCCCTCCCCCTCCCTCCTCCTCCTCCTCCTCCTCTTTCTCCTTCTCCTTCTTCTTCTCCCTCTCGAGCTACTTCGACCGCCATGACTTTATACCCCATCGTTCTTCAACCTCATCCGCGTCTTCTTGGCAGGACCTGAGCGCACAAGGAGGAGAGCCTGAAGGTTCTTCACTCCTGACGTGCGAGGAAGACACTCACCGCCTTCCCTAGCCCCCACAGGCCCCATCCTCTACGAGGGCATCCTCAGGAAGAAGAAGGAGTCGCACGGCAGGTCTCCTTCCTACTCTCCCCCTCCTTGTGCTCGCCCTCGTCCTCGCCCTCCTCGTCCTCTTCGTCCTTCTACTCGTCCTCGTCCTCGTCCTAGTCCACCTCGTCCTTCTTGTCCACTCGTTCATCGTGCACTCTTTTCTCTTGTTCTTCTCCAACGCCCCCGTCAGGTTCGAGGATCCCTACAAGATGGTCTGCGTCTGCCGCCTGCAAGGAACATGCTTGCGTGTCCGCTTGACGCACAACGGAGAGGTCAAGGAGAGGAGGAGGGGAGAAGAGGAGACGGCGAGGAAGCAGAGGGGAAGAAGCAGGCGGGAGGAGCGAATGGTGGCGGGAGGAGCTAGGAGGAGGAGCTGGGAAGGGGAAAGCTGAGGAAGAGGAGCAGGTGGTAGGGCTGGAGGAGCAGTATCATCTCAACGACTCTCCTCTCGGATGGAAATTAATCCCGAGAAGCGACAAAGCTGACAAGTTCTCCCTCGTTCGAAACCTCCCGAATCCCAATGAGGTTCTCCTGCTCCTGCTCCTGCTCCTGCTCTCGCTCTCGCTCTCGCTCCCGCTCTCGCTCCCGCTCCTGCTCCTGCTCCTGCTCCTGCTCCTGCTCTCCACCTCCTTTTCACAGTACTCTGGTCCCACTGTCTGGCATTTCCATCTCCTGCTCCTCCTCCTGCAGCTCGAGTCCTCCGCTAACTTTGTTCGCAGAACAACTCTGTGTCTTTCAAGGTTCTTCCCCTGCCCCCTCGTCCCTCATCCTCACAGTTTTCAGGCCGAGACTAAAGATGAAGGGTTCGAATGGATAGAAGCCATCGCTAAAGCACGCAACCCTACAGGTGGCCTCCTCCTCCTCCTCCTCCTCCTGCCTCCTCCCCATCTCCCCTTCGTTCCCCTTCCCTCCCATCTTCCTCCCTCCTCCCTCCTCCCTCCTCCCTCCTCCCTCCTCCCTTGTTTCTTCATCAACCTTTTGCTCATTTCTGCTTGCTCGTTGCCCTCCTTTCTCCTCCTCATCTCGCTTGCTCCCCTCCTCGTCTCGACCTTACTTGCACCCTCCAGGACCAGCTCCTTCCTCCTCCAAGGTATCCAGCAGGATTTTCATCTCATCGCCACCTCTCACCCTCCTACCCCAGCAGGACACCACCAGCGCGGAGAACAAGCCAGCTGGGGTCGGCATCGTCTTCAAGGAGATCAGGAGGCAGGGACGCGGTTCCCACCTCCTCGTCAAGTCTCTTGCGCCTGGAGGAGCAGCAATCTCCTCCGGCATGATCGAGGTCCCTGCCGCTGCCGCTACCGCTGTTGCTGTAGTCCTGCTGCTGCTGTTGCTGAGTCGTGCTCCTGTTTCTCTTCTTCTTGTTGCCCTTCCTTCGTCTCTCCATCCTCCTTCTCCACCTCTTTGTCTTCCTCCTCGCTCTCGTCATCCTGCTAGTCTTGTCCCTGTCCCAGATGCTAATTCTCCTGCTCCCCCTCCACGCCCTCAGCCGCAGCTGCGTTGATTCCGACCGCACAGGAGGGCGACGTCCTCCACACGGTCAACGGGGCTCGAGTGACTACAACCGAGGAAGCAACTCGTCTCATCCTTGGGTGTGTGCAGAATGCGCCATCCTGTCCTCTCCCTCCTCCACCTCACCACTCTCCTCCTCCTTCCTTTCCCTCCTCCACCACCTCGAGCTTGTCCCCTTCCACTGACTTCTTCACAGCCCGAAAGGATCGCCCATAGAGATGGTCTTCGAACGAAATGGTAGCTCTTCTCCTCCCTCCCTCCTCCCTCCTACTTCCCTCCCTCCTCGCTCTCGACGCTTGCCTGGTCGCCATCGCCGGCTCTTGCTCGCCTGTCCTGCCTCCTGACTCGTCCTTGTGCAGGAGAGAGGTACCAAGTGGACATGCGGCGAGGAATCACAGCTAAGACGCAATAGAGGGAGGAGGAGAGGAGGAGAGTTGATTGTACTATACAAACACCAGAGGACATCAACAAAGGGCTGGTTGCGAGGAGGAGGAGTAATGAGAAGCAGAGGAGGGGAGAGGGGGGAGGAAGGAGGCTGTGAAGGGAGATGCCGGAGATCATGAGAGAAGGAAGGACGCAGATCAAGCGAGCAGGAGCACGACGAGTGGCAGGAAGGAGAGCGCGAGAACGAGTGGGTCCGCCGCCCTCTCCTTGGCCCAGCACAGAGCGACAGCAGACAGCAACTGGAGGAGGAGGAGGCCAACCCTGACGCCCGTCATGTCATGCATGACTACAACCAGGACAACTGAGAGGAGTAGGAGGACAACGAGGATCGCATCTGTCCTCTCCCGCCTCCCCCCCCTCCTGAGCTTCCACATCCATGCCACCAGCCCGAGGGAGAGGAGGAGGAGACAGCGATCTCTTCGTGCAGGATCTCCTGACTGTTCTAGCTGCCTCCCTTCCCCTCGATGAATCTCCTCCCTCAACAGCCGTCGCTCCCACCACCTGCCCGAGCTGAGGAGCTCTGCAAGGGAGGAAGCTCTGTAGAGGTAGAAAGAGACCTTAACAGCGGAGGGAACCTGACCGTCCGCCATCCTCGTCCTTACCAGCCCCATCGCATCTCGATCTCCTTGCAGAACTTTGCGGATGAAGCGGCGGAGGAAGGGAGGAGTGACCGGTCCCGTGTGCTCCCCCATCGCAGTCACAGCGATCCATACCTGTAGGACTCATCGATCAACGTCCTCTCTTGCTCCTCTTCCTTATCCTCCACCTCCCCCATCCTTCTCCCCCCATCCCCTTTCTCCTCCTCTTCCTCCTCCTTCTCCTCCTCCTCCTCCTCCTCCTCCTCCTCCTCCTCCTCCTCCTCCTCCTCCTCCTCCTCCTTCCCGGGCTTCATTATCCGTTCCTTTGCTGCCACTGATGGGTTTGTACCGCAATTCAGAAACAAGAGGAGGACGAGGACGAGGACGAGGAGGGGATCTCGGAGCCGATAGACGTCGTTAA